TCGAGGGATTCTCAAGGGAGGACTTTGAGATTATGTGCATATATGTGTATATTGTGTAGACACACATATACATACAGACCCATACACTATTTTATACTCAGGTTAGGCTTACAACCTTTGGGTTTCCTGTGCACGTTGGTGATTTTCTATTCTAAGCTATGGAATTCAGGAACCACGGGTATTTTAGACTCTATCACATCAGTACTGCGCTGATCAGATGCATGTAAATAACTTGATAGATTCAGTGAAAAAAAAGATCATGAATGAAATTTAATTTGGGAGGAGGTGAAAATTATAAGAATCAAGGAACACATTTCTTTGGTTATTGTACAAATTTTGAATATGAAGTTTAAGATATATGTGTTTTATTCTTATTCAGAGGAGTTATTTTATAAACTTAGTTAAAATCCATATGGTAAGGAGCATCATATAAATGGAGCAACATGTTAAAAATAGGATTGAATGTTTCACTTTTACACGGGGGTGTTGGCTTCATGTTAGAGTGGCCATCTGAATTATTTCTATAAAGATTCTAGATGTTCCATCTATATTTTAGGATATAACATGGGACCTCACTGACTTCTATGGTAAAATAGAGGAAAGCTCCGTATTTCCTCTCTCTGCCTCAGCCAGAATTGTCCCATTTTGCCAGTTTTTTATGTTGTGGTACATTTAACTATTATAAATAAAAGTTTCTGCTTTTAAAGCATGTTTGGAAACACTGTCCTATGCAAGAAATTTTCATTTGCTTTTTCCACTTTTTTCTTTTTTATAAAGGAACAAAATAGACTTATTTCAAGTGATACGATTCCTAAATGGGCCCATTAAGGTCTAACTGTTATCATTTCTTTGAAGATTTCAAATTGCTTAAATGTCCATATACTTTTAAAATTTTAATTATGAAAATAAGAGACAGGTGTAAATTACTGTATGACTTTAAGAACAGTCTTAAAAATATAGTTCAGAAACTGAGCAAATAGGTATAGTCTTAGAAATGTAGATATCATGGATGTTTTTGCAATCCTCTAAATAGCAGAAATGCATTGCAGTTACGGTTTTGGGGAAGTTGAAACATTGTCCGTTGAGTTCAATGGACATACTAGTTTGTTGGCTAATTACAAAATATTTTAAAGTTAGAGGTAAAACTTTTCACATATTTTTGATTTTCTGATAGGAAAGCAAGCTGCAGAAGCATCTGCGAAGTATTACAAGAAACAAGGAGGTAACGATTAGAGCTTGGAACCTGGCCTGACTTAGAGAGAGGCTTCAGTGTAGTTTTAATAGAATCATTTAGTTCAAAGTGTGAATGTTTAAAATATGTTGATCATACCATTTGTCTACCATCACATTGCTGTATTATAAATTTATTTCATCTTCTCTTAATATTTTCTTTCATTTAAAATCTCAGTTTAGGGGCGCCTGGGTTGCTCAGTCGGTTAGGTACCAACTCTTGATTTCGGCTCAGGTCATGGTCTCAGGGTCATGAGATCAAGCCCCGCATCAGGCTTCGTGCTCAGTCCAGAGTTTTTTTGTCCCTCTCTCTGCGCCCCCGCCCCCTGCTTGTGCACGTGCTCGCATGCTCTCTCTCAAATAAATAAATAAAATCTTAAAAAAAAATAAAACCTCAGTTCAATAGTTTGAAAGTGATGAGGAAGTTAATTTCATTGTCATGAGAATTTCATATCTTTGGGAGTTGGTACACATAGTTGGTTATGAGAATCTGGACTCAGCCACACCCAAATTTGTATTCATATCGGTCATTATCATGATATATGATCTAGGGAAAGATAGTTAACCTTTCTTTGCTTCAGCTTCCTCCTCTATGAAGTAGGAATGATAAAAATTGTACTTATAGAATTGCTGTAAAGATTAAATGATATGAGCAATATGGAACTTCAGGCAATACCTGATAGCTTTTGTTATATTCCCCAGTGAGATCAATATTGAGAGGAAGTTAAGTGGGAAATTATTCAGCAATTAATATATCTTATGATAGCTCATTTAATCCTTTCTGTAGTCTCGTGAAATATGTCTTGTGCCATTTTACAAATGAGGAAGCTGAGGTGTCCAACATAAAGATACGTGGTGTTGCCCTGTGAGTCACCTCAGGCAAGGAACCTGACACGGGGCTGTTCCCTTATGACATGGAGGTGATCGTTCATATTTTAACTTCCCGATATTTTAAGAGGCTCCAGTGAGCCACATCATTGAAAAGAGTGTGGTGCCCTGGAGTCCCCTTCTGGAATGTAAATACCTCTGTAATGCCTCCTGCTAGGAGTGATAATGCGGTCTTGTCTTCTTGCCAGCCCTCCCAACAAGAAAGATGGTCTGTATTCAACCCCCACAGGGTGCCCAAGAAATAATGCAAGGGTCACAATAGCTTTCTCTGGGTGATCAGAACCTCTGGCAACTCCATGGCCTACAGCAAGGCCTGGGTCTCCTCAATTCTGAGCAAGGTGGCTTTGCCAATGTAAACCCGGGCTGGGCAGAGGCCAGCAGTAATGAGTGACACTCAGCTCAGACCTGGGGAAACAACTCAAGAAATCTGCAAAGGCTTTGTCCCTGAAGCAACAACTGAGCAGAGTTTTGCAAGATATGAAAGAATTTTCGCATTTAGGGGAGATCCAATATATAGAAAGCAGGTTTAAGTCATCAATAACAATGCTCTATCAACAATTTCTTAATGTAACATTCCTTTGAAGAATTATTCCTCTGTCAACATAGATTTGGTTCCCTTTATTATTCTCTTTCATAGTCACAGTGGAAGAAAGTATTTGTTACATTACCAAAGTCTACAGACTTTGGTAGATGGTCTGTCTCCCACAAGGAAGGAAAAGAGGTAGTCAGGTTAGACAGTTAAGGCCATTTTTAACCTATGATAAAGCACTTTCTGTAATATGGTAAGATAACAGAATATGCTATATTGGGGTGAAGACAGAGACTGTATGGAGAACTCCTTCATGAAATTGACGAAGTAAATTTCCTTGACAGAAAGACAGGCCTAGGTTTTCAGGGTACCCCAGAGCTAAAGCTGAAGGAGGAAAATTTACAGAAAACAGAAGCTTAGGACCAAATATGATATATCTTAAAACATTTTCTCCTGTTACTAGTACCTAATGTAATTTCTGGTATGCAGTAGATGCTCAGCAAATGCACAAAAATATGCAAATTCTTTCAGTTTGACCACTTCAGTTTTTTCTCTGTATAATTGAATCTTGTTAAGATCTGTCTATACCTAGGGGTTTTTTTGTTTTGTTTTGTTTTTTACCTTTCTTTTTGTGCATAAAATTCAACTCAGCACTTCTGTAATTATGCGACTAGGTATGTCGGGCATGTGCTCACAGAGCACTTCACACTAGCTGTACTTCACTGTTTGCAAATTTTGCACCTGGTCATTGCTTAAGGAAGCATTTTTATAAAGTTTTAAAATGTAATTAAAAGTGATGTTATGCTATTTAGGTTCTGTTTTTTTTTTTTTCTTTCTACATTTTGGCTCTGCATTCTGCTTTTACTGATGCCACGCTTTTGAGCAGGATATTGAGAAATGTGTTTACATAATGCAGTGCCCTCTCCCAAACACAACCCTTTTATTTCCTTTAACAGTAACCACCACTGTTCTGGTTTTTAGGGGGTCACGTCCTTGCTTTTTAAAATTGTTCTATCACACAGGTGTACATCCCTAAATATTATAATTTAGTTTTACTTTGTTTTTTTTAAAGGCGTGTTTCTAAAGTATCTTTTCATTTTTAGGTTTATTTCTTTCCTTTTTCTAATTTATCTGTTGAAAACACCAGATCGTTCATCTTGTTGAGTTTTCTTACACTCTAGATTCGGTCGATCGCTTTCACGGGGTGCCATTTAACAAGTTTTTCCATCCTCTGTATTTCCTGTAAACTGGTAGTTGGATCTAGAGACTTAGTTCCAGTACCCCCTCCCCCTTTACCTTTTTTCTTTTCTTTTTTTTTTTTGCGGGGGGGACAAAACGGCTGCCTAGGTAGTGGGGTGTTCCTCCTTAGGAGACACACAGTTCCATGTCTGAGAGGGTTGCAGCAGATGATGTAGAATGCCGAGATCCATGATTCACCAGGAGTTACAGCTCATTGTGTCAGATTTCTAGAGTTTCTTCACTTATTGGCTGGAACTGTATAAAAAGAAAGTTTTCCTCCTCTATTATCTGGTTACCAATTGCACATTTAGTATAGGAAGAGCAGTGTACCTGTTTGGTATTTTTCCTTTATTTACTACTGCTCAAAAAAAAAAAAAAAAGTTGGCTCTAATGTATCTGCCATAAGTGGGATATAGCTATCTATATACTTGTAGAGAGATATATCACCTCGTGGTTTTGTACCAGAATTTCAAATGCGATGAAAATTCAGAAGTACAGGATGAGTGTTTGAATTCTGCCGTTCATCTGTATCTTTGTCCAATCCCTACAAGTTTTTAAGGACTAAGAAGACTAGGAATGACAGAATTAGTATATCACACAAACCCACATTCTACACAAAACGTTCTTGTAATAACTGAATAACACGATTCCTTAAAGGAATCAAAGCAGTTACTCCATTCTCTCCCTTAGGTTTTGTTTGCTTTTACAGTTGGAGTGTTTCTGTACAGTCAGAGCATAGGGCCCTCCTTTATACAGTGCTCTTTCCCCTATATCCTTGTCAGCTGGAAATTTTAAGGAGATTAAGATTATAGCCTCAGGCTTTTGCTATTCTGGTAATGTAACAAACACTTTCTTCCTCTGTGACTATGAAAGAGAATAATAAAGGGAATGTAACAAACACTTTCTTCCGCTGTGACCATGAAAAAGAATAATAAAGGGAACCAAATCTATGTCGACAGAGGAATAATTCTTCAAAGGAATGTTACATTAAGAAATTGTTGATAGAGCATTGTTATTGATGACTTAAACCTGCTTTCTATATATTGGATCTCCCCTAAATGTAACTTTTACAACATCTTTTTTGTTTTGTTTTGTTTTCTTTTGTGGCTAATAGAACAGTCCAGTGTGCCAGTGGAAAAAAATATCACTTTAGAACGACCTTCTAGAATAGAACTCACATGCAAATTCACGGCATCTGGGGATGTGAATTCAGTAAATGTGACTTGGAAAAAAGGTGATGAACAACTTACGAATTATTGCATCAATGCCACAGGAAACATCCTGTATACCCAGTACATGTGAGTACATAAAATTTTCACCTGCATGGCTCGATGAAATTCATCACCTTTTAAACATTTTTGATGACTGGGCATTCTTTCCTTTGCTGTCTCTTGAAGGTTATGCTAATATTCTAATTTGCATATTTACAGAATTGTTTCTATTTTAGAATTTTGATTAAATGCTAAGTCTTTTTCATTTTTATCAAGAAGTGTTTTGAGAACTAAACCTATATTAATAAATTCTCTTTAGGTTTACCATCATTAATAGCAATCAAATGGGAAACTATTCGTGTTTCTTTGAAGAGGAAAAGAAACAAAGGGGCACATTTAATTTCAGAGGTTAGTGCTAATAATTTATAGAGTAATAACTTCAGCATTATATTTTTAGAATTCTGAATCCCCAAATTTTTGAATTACCATTACAATACTAAACATAATGAGCTGAAAGAAAATCATATACTTTCCACTGAATCTTAAAGTGGTGACCTTAAAAATGGAACTTCCCAGTCTTCCCAGTGGTAGCATTTGAATTTCCCAACCCATTCCCACTCCTGTCCCTCCCCTAGCTTAAATCCAGATTTTAGTGTGAAAGATGGGGCTGCCAGGTTATTTGTAACAGTCTCTTGAATTTATTTGCTTATTCATTTGTTTAGCCGACTAAACTCAGAGCTTTTATGTACTGTCCCTTTAGGCATGTGTGAGAATATGCTTTGGTGTTCTGTACCAGTGGGTCCAGGACTTGGGGGCTTTAGGGATCCATAAAATTTAAAAATAATATGGAGATGCACAAAGGGTTGCCAGTTTTTGGTCTCCTCAAATATTCGGCCCTCCTTTATACAGTGATGTATAAAATCCATAGCTCTTCCCTCTGGAACAAGAAAAAGTAAAATCAGAATATTTTCCTCTTACTATCATTAAACCAAAACTATAAAGGTCTCAATCTCGTAAGACAGACTAGTCACTGAGCTGGACACTTATCTTCATGAAAAACCCCTATTCTGTGATAGATTAGGGAACCACAGTGTCCGTGTTGGTATCTGGGAAATGTGGTCTGCTGCCATATTAACTGTTCTGGGTTTTGCTTCACATTAATTTCCCAAGGTACATGAGAAACTGTTCTCCATTTTTCCTGAAAATTGTGAGGTCTGGCTAGCTGCCCTGACAAAATACGGATACTGTCTCCAAGGCCCCATCCATAGCAGAATGGCCCGCTTCAACATTATCATGATTTAAGGTGGTTTGCACCTATATCCCTACATCCCTCCCTATATTCCCTCTGTTCTCACAGACTCATTTTCTTCATGTGGTTTTGTAAATGTTCTTACTTGGTAAATATAATAAATCCTTGTGTTTATGCAATTTGGTCTCTGCAAAGGCAGAAACTATTCCCATCCTTTGATTATTCTGATCATGTACATTCTCTCTTAACCTCCTTTCCTCTGTTTGCTTAATTTAATTTAGTGAAGGATAGATGCACCATACATTTCCTTTTCTTATTCCCTTCTTTCCCTTGTCTTTTTCTTTCCTTCCCTCCCTCTGCATCCTCCTCCTCCCTTCTTTCTTTCCTTCCTAATGAGCTAAGAGGATATTAAACACATGTACACACCCACACAGTCCTCTAGTAAACATTTTATTGAATTTCCTTTAAATATGTAAAGAAGGCCTATAGATTTTGAGGGAATACTCATCAAATCATGAGGCTTAAAGTGATTCCAGGAGATTCAGTTTTAAAAATTGCTTTTTTCCCCATCTAGATAGGACTGTTTTCTAGAAATATGTACTAGTTACACCTGTTCAAAGTTTAAATATTGTAAAGTAACTTAAATTAAAAGTAAAGTAACTTAAAAAAAATAAAGTAAAGTAACTTAATACTTTAAATTAAGTAATTTAAATTACTTAAATTATTATTTGGCAATGATCTGTCCTGCCTCAAATGTGAAAGATTAACAGAAGCATTTTATTTTTCAATATACCAATACATTCAATGCCATGTGGTCTTGGAGAAAGCCTCTTGATTCCATATCTATTTTGAGATGACCAGCCTGAATCATCTGGCTAGTGTCAGGAGCACCAACACAAGGCTTAGGTTTGAAATCAAGTGCTTGAGAAATGCAAAGAGCCACTGAATATTTACTATGTTTTTTTTTTTTTCTTTTTATAGTTTTCTTAAAGTAGCTTAGTTCAGTTTATTAGTTTTTTTTTTTAATCTAAACTCAAATACAGGTGTGAGAGTTTCCCAACCTGTTTGATGAAGCCGTGTTCTTTTTTTTTTTTTTTTAATTTATTTTTTGACAGAGAGAGAGACAGTGAGAGAGGGAACATAAGCAGGGGGAGTGGGAGAAGGAGAAGCAGGCTTCCAGCTGAGCAGCCAGCCCGATGCGGGGCTCAATCCCAGGACCCTGGGATCATGACCTGAGCTGAAGGCAGATGCTTAACGACTGAGCCACCCAGGCGCCCCCAGTTTATTAGTTTTTAATGCCCACTTAACATTAATATAACTTTTAAGTATACACTATGTCTCGAAGATATTTATAAAATTAGTAAGTTAGCCCTTTCCAGATCTTCTTTGGTAAAATAATATTTTCCTGTAACTCGTCTAAATTGAATATTGCTTGGAGAAGTAATTTCATTTGATTACAATTTAAAGGCATCTGCAGAACAATTCTTTTATAGTTATTATTTAATTAGATCTGTAAGGCTTATAGGATGGCATCTATTTTTATAAATATCCTATTATATTATGTCTCCACATGACTTGCTTATGGGTTTTCCTAAGAAGAAGGCTTATTTTTCCTTAGCAAACCTAAGTTGAGTGTGGTTGAAAAGCCTTTTTTATCCTCTATTTTAAATTCAGCCAAAAAAACCCCATTCTGCCACTGATCAAATGAGTCAACTAGTGCATGAGCCTGAGTCCTTAGAACAACTCATCAGCAAAGCCCCTGCTTCTGCCTTTATGGGAGCTGGTTGATTTATTACTACAAGATTACAAAAGGGCCTCAAATCACTGATTAGTACAATGCAAAAAACCCTGCTGACTTTGTGTGTTTGGCTGTTGATGCTAGTACAGGAGAGAGAGCAAAAGTCACACTGGAAGCTTCCAAGTGCTAACATGTCGTGATTACTTTTCATTCAAGAAAGATGAGAGGTGGGCGACCGTGTTTCTCAGTAGCAGGTCAACTATTCTGATGTAGTTGCTGAAAACTTCTATAATATGCATCAGTGTTAAAATCTCTCATTAGAGGGGCACCTGGGTGGCTCAGTCAGTTAAGCGTCTGCCTTTGGCTCAGGTCATGATCCCAGGTCCTGGGATCGAATCCCGCATCTGGCACCCTGCTCAGCGGGGAGCCTGCTTCTCCCTCTCCCACTCCCCCTACCTGTGCTCTCTCTCTCTCTCTGTCAGATGAATAAATAAAATCTTAAAAAAAAAAAAAAAGAAAAAATTAAAATCTCTTAATAGAAAAGATGCAGAAATTTAGTTGATGAAGAGTAAGTAATGGCACATAGAACTTTTGAGAAGTCTTGGTGAGATTTTGATGGTGCCAAGTGCTGTGAAGCCTCTCTTGGCCTAGCCATCTGTCTTCACTAGTAAGTATCCAAGGCGTCAAAATATGGAATAGTACTATGGAAGAATCAGTTGGAAGTTCAGCTTCAACCCCCAGTGCTGAAGTCTAGTTAGCTGTCTTTGACTATGTGGAAAAATCTTTTCCCTAATTTGGTAATACCTAAATGTTCTTGGGCCAAAAATGACCCAGGCTGATTTTCTTCCTAGTTCATGATATAAATCTCTAACTTTACAACTCCATAGGGCTTTGACTGTCATCAGGTAGATCCTAGGCCCCATCTTCTTAGACACTAGTTTGAATCAGCAATTTCAGCATCTTCAAACTTGGAGTCTTCCAATCCAAGACTCTCACTGGTTCTGCCTTATCTGAAGTTTCAAAAGGTCAACAGAACATATTAGAATACCGTATCGCTGTGCTTCTTTGCATAAGTATTTCCAAACATAAGTAGCAGCCCAGAACCAACCGGGGCCTCTGGAGAAGTTCCAACAAACTGGTGTTTCCTGACCATGGTGCCTTTTGTAATTTAGATCCACACTGCTGTTATCAGTCATATAAAGCATAGCAGAGCAGTGGTTAATGTCCACCTTTTCACATGGAGCTTGAGAAGTGTGGTTTTGCTTATCTGAGGTTTGGAAGGAACTTAGAGGCTTCAGAAAAGAATCCTTATTTTAGCTAAGCTTGAATCTGTGCTTATCTGCAGGTCTTTAGTTGAGGCCTCCCCTAAAGTAGGGTTGACCTTTCCAGGAGCTTCTGTGTTCTCATACTTCATTTAATAATAAAGCCACACCAGGTGTTGGGCATATTGGAATGAAGTATGACTAGGTCGCAGTCTTGAACTGATAGATCGATTGTGTTTTGTCAGGAGGCCCTCAAATAACTTCCTTCTCACTTGGTCCAGTCATTCTTTTTCCCAGCAAAATCTCAAGTAAGGAAATACACACCAAAAAAGGGACACTAAGGCAAAGTAACATTTTGTTATTGGCCAGCCTTGGCCACAAACCTTGCTGAAATTCTTGGAAGGCTTTGCCACATGGAAGGCTTCTTTTTCCTCAATGAGGTCGTACTAACCTCAAGCCAAAGCAGAGCCTTGTATTCCTTCACAGCCCAAGGTCAGTTAGGTCTTTACTCCTCTGAACAGGAGGATAACACCCTCCTGAGCCAGGAAAAATATGCTGAGCATGAGGCTGAGTTATTTATACCTCCAGATTTCTATCCCTAGAAAACAGGGCCCAATCAGTGCCCTGGACCATGACTAATCCATGATAATCCTCCTTTCTAGGACTGGAAAACTGGAGGGCTGAATGAGAGGAGGGAATGTCTAGTGAGGTCACCGGGGACTTCAGTCCACAGGCCACTGCTCAGCCTTTTATTGACACCACCTCCGGTATCTAGTGAGGAAACTAGATCTACCATGAGAAAGAAAAACAGAATGGGGGGAAGGGGTACTCGGAGGCTCAGTCGGTTATGCGGCTGCCTTCGGCTCAGGTCATGATCCCAGCATCCTGGGATCGAGCCCTGCATGGGGCTCCCTGCTCAGTGGGAAGCCTGCTTCTCCCTCTGCCTGCCGCTCCCCCTGCTTGAACTCTCTGTGTCAAATAAATCAATAAATGAAAAAAAAAAATCTTCAAAAAAAAAAAAAACAGAATGAAATATTCTGTGGTTCAGTGTAATTTAGGCCTGTAACAGTTTGATGCTGAAATTTATTGTCTTGTTTCTCAAGAACTTAAAATATAGTTACGTTAATATCGGGACAGATGGTCCGCCTATTCTCTTGGATCCTAGAGTTGCTTTCAATTTTCCTCTATTGGTTGTTTTCCTGCAGCAGACTGCTGTCTGGGTCCCCAGATGAGCCCAGAGGCAGGTAGCCACAGACTGAGGAAACTGAACAAAACGAAAGTAGTTTGACTTAATAGGGAGAACACTTACATGAGAGACACCATCTTTGCTTTTATTTAAAAAATGCATGTGAATAACAATTATTCTCTTATTTAAAAATTTCACTCACAGGTTATGTCAAAGTACCAGTTGCTTTATTCTGCTTTTTCTTGTTAAAACCAGTATGTGGTGAACGGGCCCTTTTCTTTTTATTCTTAGATTCTATGTAATATGTGAGGTTATTATTCCATGTGTTTTTTCTGCTCTGTATACTACATAGGTCTGGAAACAAGAGTTTCTTTTTAACTTTTTTTTTTTTTTAAAGACTTTATTTATTTATTTGACAGAGAGAGACACAGTAAGAGAGGGAGCACAGCAGGGGGAGTGGGAGAGGTAGAAGCAGGCTCCCTGCTGAGCAGGGAGCCCAATGCGGGACTCGATCCCAGGACCCTGGGATCGTGACCTGAGCTGAAGGCAGATGCTTAACGACTGAGCCACCCAGGCGCCCCTCTTTTTAACTTTTAACCAATGTAATTTCTTGTTATGGTAAGGAGCAGGGTTGAGGTGCCCTGATTTAAATTGTTTTAATTTATCCTGAAATTGTAATCCTTACACAAAAATCTTATTCAGCTGCTTTCGCCAAGTACTTGAATGCGTGTTCCAAGCAGAATTTGTTTTACAGCCTCACTAAGTTGTTTAAAATAGATGTTATTAAAGGATCTCAAAGCTCCTGTTTCTTCATTCTTTGGGGCCTTGTCTCCTGTGATTCATACCCTTGAGTTTTCCATCATTTTACTCTTTTAATCTCCTTTCTCACTTGGGCTGGGGGGGTCTATAAAGCATTCAGTTTGGAGCCTTTCCTATGTTTTGGGGTGTTCTTACATGTTCCTACAGTTCTGAGATGTATTCAGATGAATTTCCAGTTCTCTTTTTATATTCTAAGTCTTATTTCTTCTCTCTTCCACACGACTGGCTGACCTGGAAATCATTCTTGCACATGATGATGATCTATCCTAGTAAGCTGGCTCATGACCACTACGTAATAAGGCCATGGGTATTACAAATTGTAAGGGAGGTCAGTTAAGAAAAGCAGTACCAGTGCATGATCACAATTTTGTGGTGTTTACTTTGCACCAAACACTTCATGTGTTATGATCTCATACTTAATCCTTTACAACAACACAGTAGGATGGGTTATGACCGACCAAAGAACTCAATGTTAGTAACACCGAAACTGTAATTTGAGTGTATGTATTTCCTGGACCCAGATCAATTCTTTGTCACATCACTGTCACATTGTGCTGACTTCCTTCAAACACTTAATGACCTGACCTTTGAAATGGACACCTATTCACCACATATTAACTAAATATCCCTCAGCCTGAGGGTGACCCGATTGGGAGTGTGGGACCCTTGTGGCCTCAGTCAAAAGGAGTGCTCAGAATATCTTCTGGCTGGGATGTCTTAAATCCAGGTAATCACTCGTACTCCCTGTCTCCTCTCTCAGGAGTGCCCTAGTGGTACCTGACTCGGTTTTCATTAAGTATCAGTGGGTGAGTATAAATTCTGATAGGCAGTTCACAGCTTTGGTTAATGTAAAATTGTAGACCATCCAGTTTCATCAAAACATGTTTCCTTGGTTATGAAAAGTGTGAGAACAACTGGTTTATAGATTGCTCTATTATCTTTCGTATGAATTACTTGAAGCATTTATGCTGTCATGGGTGTGACATACCTTCCTCTTATTTGCATCTCTTTTTTATGAGCACTGCCTCATTCAACACTCAGCTGGTCAGCAGCCTTGATGAAGGAGAGGGTGATATGTGCAATTGTGTTTAGGCACATCTTATTTATTTATTTTTAAAGTATTTTATTTATTTATTTGAGAGAGAGAGAGTGAGCACGTGCACAAGTGGGGGGTGAGGAGGGGCAGAGGGAGAAGCAGGCTCCCCGCTGAGCAGGGAGCCCGACGTGGGGCTCGATCCCAGGACCCTGAGATCATGACCTGACCTGAAGGCAGACACTTAACAGACTAAGGCCCCTCTTTAGGCACACTTTAAACAATAAGGAAAAAAGAAGACTTCCATACCCATCATTGCAATCTTAATCACCTGAGGACAGAACCCATAAAGAAATCCTATTCTCCAACCCTATTTGTACCACTTCTTTGGTAGTTATACAAGTCAGAATTTCTTTTCTAGTCATTACCAATTACTTCCCCCTTCCTCATCTTTATGATTCATCCAGCAAATGCTCAATTATCTTTGGGTAGTACAAAGCCAAGAGCACTTAGAGAATGTATTTAATCTAGAAAGCTGACTTTAGTACTTAAAACTGATCTTTCTATTTCTACCCTGGCCCTCCCCAAAACAAAATATAAAAATAGGATAACAAGTGAATATCAAGCAATATTTATAAAATTTGTCAATATAGCATTAAAAATTTAGATATAATTTTATGCTTTCTCTCTGTTGCCAAATAAAAAAGGGAAAAAAACATAAAACCAAAAATCCGCTAAAATGAGTAAAAGAAAAAAAGTAAAAGTAACCTTTGTTGGTCAGTCTACACCTCCAGTCTAAGTGCACATTCATTAATATATCCTTTGAGGTCAATGAGAAGAAACTGATTGCACTATGGAGCTATTGGCTCTCTTTTTATTGCTTTGCTTATGTTTTTATGTTTTGATTTTCTTTATCAAGTTATTCATATCCTTAAAACTTAATTTTTCTAAATTCAGTGGTCATTTTTATTGTTACTAATGGCACCTGCCTGAAACTTTCTTAGGAAATTTATCACCCAAAACAAATAAACAAAAACAGCAGAAAAAGAGTCGTAAAGACGACAAACTGGTAGTTGCCAGAGGGGTGTGGTGTGGTGGGGGAAATGACAAAATGGGTAAAGGGGAGTGGGAGGTATAGGATTCCAGGTATGGAGTGGATAAGTCAGGGGGATGAAAGGTATAGCATAGGGGATATAGTCTATGCTATTATAATAGTGTTTCATGGTGATAGATGGTAGGTACACATGTGGTGAGCATAGCATAACATGTAGATTTGTCTGATCACTATGTTGTACACCTGAAACTAACATAATACCGTGTATCAACTATACTCCAATTAAAAAAATGGTTTCATGTCATATGAAACTAAAATTATGTAAAGAAAATCATACTGATGAGAAAATGAAAGGAGAATTTGTCTTCAACTTGCATACATTTCCCTATTCAAACTCCCTCAGTAATATGTCTTTCTCTAAATTTTTCTTAGTCCCTGAAGTTCAAGGAAAAAACAAACCATTGGTCACTTATGTGGGGGATTCAGCTGTCTTGATATGTAAATGTCAACACTGTTCTCCTTTAAACTGGACCTGGTACAGTAGTAACGGGAGTATACAGGTAAGATCATATTGATTCGAAGAAAACAAAATGAAAACTCTTATTCCATAAATAATATTAACAGACTCAGAATTCCTAGGACTATTTGTACTCCTTTATCTTATTATTATTATTATTATTTTAAGATTTTATTTATTCATTTGAGAGACAATGAGATAGAGAGCATGAGAGGGGGGAAGGTCAGAGGGAGAAGCGACTCCCTGCCGAGCAGGGAGCCCGATGCGGGACTTGATCCCGGGACTCCAGGATCATGACCTGAGCCGAAGGCAGTCGCTTAACCAACTGAGCCACCCAGGCGCCCCCTTTATCTTATTATTTAATATGTCTTCATAAAGAAAGAACCGTGGAGTTGTCATTTCATGTTTTTAGCATATTGCATTATACATCTGAAGAGACTCTTACTGTTTTAACTGGTACTTTGTTTTTCAGATTTAGCAACTTATTTCAGTTCTTTGAAAGGAAGTTATCATTCATTTTTAGTTGATGAGTTTAGAAATAACCCTAACAAAAAGATTCTCTTTTCTTATCATTCCATGAAAGTATCTAGAAAAAAAGGTAGTTTTCTTTTCCAGCTCAGTCTCTGGAAACATTTGTGAAAGAATGCAATACAGTGGTGCCATTTGAGAAAATAATGAAAATTGGTAACTTAAACTTAGCTCTTGGGTTCTTTCAGGGTCATTGGCCTCTTTTGGCCTTCCAGAATCCAAAGAGAAGCGAAATACTTTACGTTCCTATTAAAGAATTAATGGCTATTCAAAGAGCTGATAATAAGAAAAACATGCATATTCAGAAAATCATTTCTCACTCTCTTTCTTCCTCCCAAATAGCCTCTAATAGCAGGGAAATTTAGGACATTGTCCTTCAGGAGACACCTGTCTATTGCTCTGCTACTAATGAGCATTGAAATTAAAGTCCTGCAAAGGCAAGCTGTAATTCTAGGACAGACGGACAGTATGGGACAGCGTAGATCTTACAATGAAATACTAGGTTCCTTCTTAGACAAAATTGGTACTGCCATAGACTGTTGAAGGGAACCAGAGGAAAGGACTTAAAAGGGAGAGTGACTGATTCTGTGATAACATTGGTTTGACTTTTTAGAGAAAGCTCCACATCACTTAGGGGTAGACTTAAATCATTAATATTTCTGCTTCTTTTCTTGTTGATGATTAGGAAAGGCAATCATTTTGAGTAGGTAACTATTTAAAAAAATGTATGTAAATTGATAAAGATAAATATCTGTTGTAGTACTTGACATACATAGCCTAATTTATTTATTTATATGTAATACTAGGCAAAAAATAACCGAAATCTAATTACATTAAACTCTTAGAATATAGTCTGTGCTTCTCTCCATTGGCTGTAGTAATTTCCTCTCCATTTGGCCCTAAGCACGGGTCCTATTAGGATGTGAGGGAAGTGTAGGGAAGTGGGTACAGGTCACAACTTTAAGTCAAGTGTTTTTTCAAAATGCAGACCGACCACCTGCCTCTGCATCACCTGGGGTGCCCATTAACCATGCATTACTTACATGTATCAGCTCCGAGTTAGGGAGGGTACATTTGAACAAGCAGTACAGGCAGTGCTATGCACAGGGAGCCAGGTCGCTTTAATGGGGTGGGGGGAGCAAATAATAAACTCACAGTTCTTGATCAGATAACCTCCAAGAATATTTGCATGCAGATGAGCATTTACTGAGCAGTGCGGTTGAGTGATAGCACAGCGAAGGCATCGGATGGCCTGAGAATAAGTTTTAATTTAAATGGGTTAAATAAATCAGCTCCAAAATAGCTTAGTATGGCTCTTGAGAGGCTGGGGGAAAATCCAGGGACTCTCAGAAGCCAGCTTGCCTGAGAAAGAAAGACATTCAGCTATGAGAAGACAGGTGCGCAGACAATCACATATCCTGGGCTCCCGGGATTTCTACCACTCCCGCTACATCAGCCTCAAAGGCCTGGAGATTTCATCCTCATTTCCAGTCTGAGGAACTCCCAGTGTCAGGAGCCAGTGATCTTCCTTTGTAGGAATGATCACATCTAATAGCTTCATTAATTCATGAGTTGAGTTGATGTGTGCCTGCTCTTGTGAAGGGGGAAGTACTTTGAATAGCTAGTTGGGGGTTAGATCGAGAAACCCAGATGGCTGGAATTTTTCTGTATCTTTAATTCTAATATTTACCCATGATGACCTACACTATAGTTTCAAACACGGAGTGTTTAGCACTTAAAATATCCCTTCCCTTTGCTACCGTTGGGAGATGAAGCTCTCGGACTCTGTTATGTAAACTTCTCATAAACTTTAATATGCCTTATAGCTTTTGCTCAAAACGCGATCATTTAGGACATGTGTCTTTTATGCAATATGATAGGAATGGGTTTTGATGTCTCCTTATATTAGGTTCCTGTTGATGTTCACGTGAATGATAAGTATGCGATCAATGGAACAAACGCTAATGAAACCAGGCTCAAGATAATGCAACTTTCAGAAGATGATAAGGGATCTTACTGGTGCCATGCAGTGTTCCAATTAGGCGAGAGCCAAATACACGTTGAACTCGTTGTGCTGAGTTATTTGGTACCCCTCAAACCATTTCTTGGAATAGTTGTTGAAGTTATTATTTTAGTGGCTATTATTCTGTTTTGTGAAATGTACACCCAAAAGAAAAAGATGCACACAGGTAAGGCTTCTTTTTTTAGATAATGTTCTTATGTTATGACTTAATACATTATAATGGCTTTAGAGTTTTGGGGAAATATCTAACTTTTGTTATTTGGAGGGGTGTTTATTTAACATTGATGGTGACAGTGATGTGAGCTTTTATTGATGGTTTTTCTGTTTCAACTTCCTAAAAAATTTTAGGATGAAAATATACTTTTTCTCCTTTTGCTTTGGTGTTACTGGTACCTCAACACCAAAGAGGTGATACATGCTTTGGCACTAGAATAATAGAAGATTCTGTGATAGCTTAACGTAAAAGACCTCAAAGACAAACAGTCTTTCCCTTAGATAACTCACTTAGAAAATATTTTATCAAACATTCTGGAGTTCTCATAAAAGAGACATTGTCTGGTCAGTTCTCCATTTTTGTGGCATGTGCTTGATAGATTGCAGGTTGAGAAACCAATGGTTCCCCAAGAAAATTTATCTTACATTCTGTATTCTTTTCTGATTTTATACTAAATTTTTAGTAATTTAAAGAATTACAAATCAGTCAGTCTGATTTTGAAAATCCCAGGCACTAGACTATGCTTGATGAAAATTGTAGGTAAGGTCTGGAGAGCAGGGAAAGAGGAGAACGTGATGGATGTGCAGGCGTTTCACGTCATATGTCTCTCGTTCCAAAGAGGGAAAACCATACAGGGCATTCTTAACATGGGGAAAGTTGAATTCAACATACATGCTCCGTAAGAATAATAAACCAATCTTATTAAATTCCTCTTTTGTTATACAGATGATGGGAAAGAATTTGAACAAGTTGAGCAGTTGTAAGTATTACAGATTAATTTTCACTTGAGTAAAATAGAGATAAATATAAAATTGAATAAAAGTTTGCAGTTGGAGTAGGTATTTACCCCAAAGATACAGAGGTAGTGCTCCGAAGGGGCACCTGCACCCCAATGTTTATAGCAGCAATGTCCACAACAGCCAAACTATGGAAAGAGCCCAGATGTCCATTGACAGAGTAATGGATAAAGAAGATGTGGTGTATATATATATATATATATTCAATGGAATATTACTCAGCCATCAGAAAGGATAACATCTCACTATTTACACCACCATGGATGGAACTGGAGGATATTATGCTGAGCGAAATAAGTCAATCAGAGAAAGACAATTATCATATGGTTTCACTCGTATGTGGAATATAAGGAATAGTGCAGAGGATCATAAGGGAAGGGAGAGAAAACTGAACGGGAAGAAATCAGAGGGGGAGACAAACCATGAGAGACTCTTAACTATAGGAAACAAACTGAGGGTTGCTGGAGGGGAGGTGGGTGGAGGGATGGGGTAACTGGGTGATGGGCATTAAGGAGGGCACGTGATGTGAGGAGCAGTTGTTGTTATATGCAACTGATGAGTTACTGAAGTCTACATCTGAAACTAGTGATGTACTATATGTTGGCTAATTGAATTTAAATCAAAAAAAAGTTTGCTGTTTGGACAAAAACACAAGAGTATATTATATGTGTGTTGTTTTCTGTACACATCCATGTTGTGGAGAGGCGTGTGGAGTTTGCCTGCGTAAATTAGGACCCCCCTCTACCATTCACTTTTTGCCTCTCTGTGCTTCAATTTTGTCCTCAACAAAATGGCTTTAATTACAGGATTTGCTTATAAGGCTTTTGGATTAAATGATATTCTGTATGTAAAAATGCTTAGCATAGGCTTTGATGCCCAGGGGTGTTCAATAACCATAAGGAAGTATTATTTGTGTAAGTCAGCATTTCTTTCTTTTTTTTTTTTTTAAAGATTTTATTTATTTATTTGAGAGAGAGAGAATGAGAGAGAGCACATGAGAGGGGGGAGGGTCAGAGGGAGAAGCAGGCTCCTTGCTGAGCAGGGAGCCCACTGCGGGACTCGATCCCGGGACTCCAGGATCATGACCCCAGCTGAAGGCAGTCGCTTAACCAACTGAGCCACCCAGGCGCCCTAAGTCAGAATTTCTTAACCGTGGCTATATTTTTGGCCACTTAGGATGTTCCTTAAAAATATGGTTGCTCAGACTTTACTGGATCTCCTGGATCAGAACCTCTGGGAGTGGTACCTGGGCATCTGTATTTCTTTAAAATGTCTATCACTGATGCTTTTTTTTTTTTTTTTTTAAGATTTTATTTATTTATTTGAGAGAGAGAATGAAAGAGAGAGCGCACAAGAGGGGGGAGGGTCAGAGGGAGAGGCAGGCTCCCCGCCGAGCAGGGAGCCCGACGCGGGACTCGATCCAGGGACTCCAGGATCATGACCTGAGCCGAAGGCAGTCGCTTAACCAGCTGAGCCACCCACGTGCCCTGTCTATCACTGATTCTAAGTCTCTCTTATATGGAAAATCACTGGGCTAGAATTTTATTAGTCACTATTTTTGAAAGAACAGATATTGTGCCCCAGGTTCTCTTACAGCCCCTTTGTTCAGAGTGGAACAGGAGGAGGGCTGAGAAGAGAAGTATCAGGGATATAATTTAGTTTGGTCAAGACAGGAGTGACTAGTTCCTCTCAGCTGGAGGACTGAGCATGGAGTCCAGTGATGGAGGTGCCTGAGACTGGGATTAAAGTCTGAGTAACACAGCCAAGGGCTGGACCGGGAAAATGAGATGAGATTAAAGCAGCTGAAAGAAATGTTGGAAATGGAAGGCCTGAGCACATATAACCACACAGAATGGCACTTGAGGTTTATCTTCATTGGCCAGCACAAGTTCAGAGGTGAGGTCTCTAGCCATGGTTAAAGAGTGGGAGAGCTGTCATTTAGATATTTGTAGACATTATTCAAATAGTTATTTTTACTCAGTTCACAAATGGCAGGTAAAATAAATCAACACGATATGAGCTTCTAAAGTAAGGGCACGAAATAATCATATCAGGAATTCCATAACCTCAGATAGGAAAAACAAAAAAAAACAGTGTTGTTGGCACCAACTTGGTTGGCATCAACTCTTATAGTTGGAAAGAAACTGCACCTCTTTCTGGTGAACTTGGACATCTTGTTTAGAGTGCGTTGAATGTTCTATCTTTCTGGTTCCCAAGTACTGTGTCCCATTCTTATACTTGGGGTCATACAGAAAACAAGACAGTCATTCAGATATTCGAAACAGTTAACAGCCTTGCCCAAATGCTGTTGTCCCAGCTCAGCTTCCCCAGGGTTTCTGGTCATTCAGTCTCTTGCAGTCACATTTGGGGGCTGCTCCTGTCTCAGTGGATTCTGGTTCATTTAAGACACACGTAGAAGGGGTGGCACCAGAACAGTATGGAGTAGACTTACCAATTCTTAATTTAATTTTCATTTATGTAGCTTACCCTAATTTTAAAATCTTTTTAAAATACGTTTTTCTAGAATATCTTAGGAATAATGTCAAACTGATTCAATCTATAGTATAAATGATTTACTTTCTTTTCTTTTATTGGTAATTGGGATAGTGTACATAATATTCTCTACCTGTACTGTTCCACAGAGAGCTCTGGCAGTATTTATTTTTTTAGTTTATTTCTTATTTCAGTATCTTTAGATTTAATGCAAGTATCAAGGGCACTTGAATCATTTGTAGCAACCTTTTACTAATGTTCTTTTAGAATTTTTAGCTAGCAATGCACTTTTTTTTTTAAGTAATCCCAACGCCCAACATGGGGCTCTAGAATTTTTAGTTAGGAGATAAATTTTACTTGACAGAATATATATATATATATATATATATACACACACACACACATGCACGCACGCACACACACACACACACATATATATATTCTGTCAAGAAAACTTTATCTCTCTCTCTATACACACACACATACATATATATATTTATATATAATGCTTATATGTTTAGATGCCAGGAAGAGTCATAGAGTTCCTTGATGAAAATAAATCTTAAAACCGTACTAAATGTGTAACATCAAAACAAGCTAGTCACTTCAAATATTTCAATGAGGAGCTCATTCATTTATCTGATCCACTCATATACTTAAGCCATATAATCTCGCCTGACAGCCCCTCCCCCAAATTTGGATTACGTGGTTGAATTTATTATCTGGTGGTGATAGCTTAATGAGCTCAGGCCTGCCTGTAACACTAGAAGGGTATTCATTATGCACTCTTGTTACCTAGTTTGGTCGTTCTTGTCTTAAGAATCTGAAGGCCACATTCGTCGTCTTGCCCCGATGCACATTGAGTAGACAACCATGTTTAGCCTCTAATTCATTGTGATAAATATGTTGAATTATAGCACCTGTATCTCACATGTTGGCTGACCTTCTGATTGGCTGTTATCTTGCAGGGCCTCAAGACTGCTTACAAGTTATGACCATATACCCACGTCCTCACTCATGCTGGGGGAGAAGCAGTTCTCCCTCTGCATAAAATAAACAGGACTGGTCACTGTCATCTGTGACAACAGTTCTTCTCTAAGCAATGGTAGAAAAACAAAATCAGCATTATGAGTAAAACATTTTTAGGAAAAATGAATTGTCTCTATTGACCTTTTACATTTTAACCTGATGGCCACTATATAGATGATGTACTGACTTGATTTAATGCCATGTAAATACCTAGTGATTTTCTTTTTGTTTTCCGTACAGGAAATCAGATGATAGCAACGGCGTAGAAAATAATGCCCCCAGGCACAGAAAAAGTGTAAGTTACTTCCAAATGATATTCCAAATGAAAGGTAAAATTCACTGTACATAGACTATTATTCTGGCTACACTTTTTAGTTTCATAGGAGACCTTATCATTCACTATGTGTTTGAATATAGTTGTTTAGAATATTATAGGAGAAAATGTATAGTTATACAAAAATAAATGACATCTTTTTTCTATCAGAGAACATGTAGCAACCAATCTAAAAATACATCCTTTGCCCTACATATATATATATACACACATATATATATGTATATATATTTGTCATCATGGGCTAGTTCCTTTTACTACTTTTCATGTGGTCTTATTTTTTTTTCTCTCTTAGGTTTTCTGGATTCTCCTTTTTTTATTCTCATATACTCATATATTTGGCATTATGAACAAATACATAGTAGCTTATTTTCTTTACTGATTAGAATCAAAATTTTCATAGTTGATCAACATTTTTTTCCTGAGTATGTAGAAAATAGATACTGTTAGTTTTGGCAGTGGTTTGGATCACTCCTTTCTAGCACTTTCTGCTTTGCTAAAGTGATAATAAGTTATAGAATAATCAGGACATACTAATTATGTTTCATTATGCTTTATTTAACTCAGGAATCTGTGAGCCAGTGAATGCGAAACATCATGTCAAGAGTCATGGGAAGATGTACAGTTTGTACTTCAGCTTTGTTTGTTTCCTGTTAAGAATATCTGAGTTTTTATTTTTAAAAGGATGAAAAGTTTATGCAATATGCTCAGCAGTAGCTTTGTAATAATATATGCTATATCAGATCTAAAGATATATTTCCCTTCTGTAATTATTTTACATTAAAGCAAGGTAAATTATATTCAATATATCCTATGAGCTATCACCCAGGATAATTAATTTCATCTTGGTCATCTAGGGATGCACAGAAGAGATACCAGCAAAACCGGTTAATACTACACAGAACTAATGTCACTCAAGACCTGTTTATAACCAAAGAATTCATTAAAGAGAAAACTTTTGCTATTTGCCTTAAAAAGTTTTTTTTTTTCCGGTCATGCTTACTATGTCTAGACATATTTGTAATAATTTTCATGTAATGTTCACCCTCTGTCATATTGGATAAAAACATCTTCACTAGGAAATGAATACTTTCTGCCTTTGCTAATGATTTCAATCTCCACAGGAAAAACATACTTTGCCTCCACAAATACTGGTTTAAGGCAAGGAAATATAACCACATACTTGCTCCAAATCTCCCATCACCACAAAAACATGTTTCCCAACCTTTGTTCTACTCATTTCCATTGCTTATACACACCAGGCAAAAGTGACTTTTAGTCTTTATGTAGAGCATTTTTTCAATGCCATGGGTTTTGGATTTTTTAAGTTGCACCTGGTGTTGATGCTCTGGGTCCAGGTCCATATAGTCATAATATAGCCCTGCTACAGGGATGCTTCTGTGGTTCATGGTTTCCTGGGATCTTTGACTTGATACCTGGTGTCTTGATACCCATGGATGGCTAAATATCTAAAAATGCATTATTAATGCTTTATAGTCATGATTCCGTTGTTTGAAATCAATCCAGAAGTACTAAAGGGCTTCTTCTATGCGGTTGCAAATGCCTTAGACTTTTCTTCAAAATTAGCTTAGTTTCTATTGCATATATAACTGAAATATTTTATAAAATCACTGTAACCAAACCAAATGAAATATGAATAGACATGAAACATTGTCAGTGGCTTTGAGTGGACTATAAAATCATACTACGGTATACTCAATTGGGTTGAAGACAATGATGTGAAGCCTGCTGGGTGTCCTTAGTGCTGGTGGGTCCCATCTAGCAGAGGTCAGAACAATCAGAAGCCAAAGGGGAAGTCTGGGATGGTGGCAAGGAACCCGCAATTTTTGGTGACTAGAAGATTAATATTTGGAGAAGAGGAGTTCAATGATTTGGGGAGAAAATACCTTATAGAATTGTACATTATGTACTGGCTGAGAAAATGATAAAATTGTGGTAGTGAAAATTATAATTTATATGGCATCTTAACTAATGTTAAAATATTACTAATTGGAATAATATGCCTAAGGTGGTGACTTCGAAGCTGCCCATTACTTTGTTGCAGCACTATTTTGTGTAAAGCGTGTTAACTGTACTTGCACATTTTATTGAACTAGAGTATATCCCTTAAGTAATGGCAGATTTCATTTTATTCTTAGTCTCAGAGCCATAAGCCATGCAGTGTTTTGGTTTAATTCATTATTTGGTAACGTTCTCTTGGATGGTAGCTCTATGATGGCAGACAACCAGTCAGTTCACTTCATTAATACAAACAATTTGAATTCAGTGAAAAATTAGTCAAACCTGTTATTTGACTAAGTCCAATTCAAAGTGGTATAGTTATGATTGGGTATATTTAAAACCAAAAACAATTTGTAGTTCATAAGCAGTATGTATCTGTCCATTTTGCCACACTGTTTAGGCTAGATGTTTTTCAAGCAAGAGAAATTACTGCCCCATGGTAAAATAATCTGAAATATTTATTTGTATAGTAAATTGAATTTTTAAGTGTCAATGCTTGCTGTTTTTCCTAGCAAAGGCAGTTCATTTCAGTAACCTTAAGCAGAAAAAGTACTCAGAAAATTAAAATTGAGTTTTGGCTTTTTAGATTCTCTCTGGAAGAACTTCTGGAAAATTACCTCAGACTCTTAGATTAGAAGTGGAATGCTTCCATTAATTAACCTCATGTGGAAGATAAATGGATTAACTCATAATAACCAATTGTAAATTGGCTGAAAATACTAAGTAAGCAGAAAAGCTGAAGTAGGAAAACTGCTCCACATTTATATATTAGACACCCTGGGAAATTCTATTAATCTTTCCAGCTTACAGGGCTTTGCAGAATAAGGAGATTTAATGATGTTTTAAAATTCTCAGATACTTTCATAGTCAGTTTATGCTTTAATGTAAATCTTCTCCCATGGTATCTTTCTCTTTTTCTTCAGCATCTGGTTACTTGGGTCAAAACCCAGAACTCATTGTGATGTTTTCTTCTCCTCTATTAACTAAGACTCATTAGTTATGAATCTTTGTTTCTTTGACCTTCTCACTGTTCATTATTCCACCCATTGCCTTCACCACCCCATTCTCACAACTGCAACAGCAACAGTCTTGATTTTCCTACCTCCATCTCATTTTCCTATTAATCCATTTTTTGTATAGCTGCCCGATCATCTTTTTAAATACAAATCTTGCTATGTTAACTTAATATGGAAGCTTCCATGCCAAACCTCTGCAGGCTTACCTTTGCCATTTCTTAATACCGCAGTTTTCCAAATGGCTAATCTCTCTCCAGTGTCTTGACTTAGTCTTGACATATACAGATTTGGTGCAGAATGCTATCCCCCTGTGCTCCTTCCATTGACTAACTTGAGTTTAGCGTTCAAAACTTTAATCTGACGTTATTTCCTGGTGGAACTTTCATACTCAGTGGGAGTGTATACCATGTTATTTGCTCAAATAACTCCACATTTCTTTGTGTTTATTACCCTGTATTATAAACATACATTTGTCTCCTTCCTGTGTCATGTACTTACCACAAAGAGGATAAATTAGAGATGTCATAAATGTGTGTTGAATAGATATAAGTAAAAATCAAATTTCATTAATTTGTAGTTATTTTTAGAACAATCTAAATTGTGACATCAGGATGAAAATACAGGGCTGCCTGAGTGGCTCAGTCGGTTGAGCAACCAACTGTTGGTTTTGACTCAGGTCATGATCTCACAGTTGTGAGATCAAGCCCTGCATTGGGCTCTGCTCTCAGTGTGGAGTCTACCTGGGAATCTCTTTGTCCCCTCTCCCTCTGACCCTCCTGTCCTGTGCTCTCTCTCTCTCTCTCTCAAACAAGAAATCTCTAAAAAAATTTTTTAAAGAATTAAAATACAATATTTTAACAGAGATAAACAAGGTTTTATGAGTCAATGTTTGCTTCTGTTACTTTGAAAACTACATAGTAATACGATAAAACATCCCATCAGATTTTAATAATGTGTTAATATCTCGTGAGCAAATAGAATTCTGATTCCTAAACCGTTATACAGGGTATGCCCCTTTCAATTTATTTAAATTTCTATTGTTCTCTATTTTTCATAGATAGTTCAAATGTTAACCTCATTTTTATCCTTTATTTTAATAAGATAAGGTATTGACTTTAAATATAAAGATATTTAGCAACTAGCCCTTTGCATGGTACTATAAAGCGCATTAATATTTGTGCTCCCTCCACTAATTTCTTATTCCTCTTTCCTGCGGCAATACCTTACAGTACCTTAGAGCATCTCAGAATCCAATTCAAAACTTTATCTTAAAAGAAACAAAATTTTTTAAAGAAAGGTTTCATTGTTTAGTTTTGCTCACTGAAAGTTTGTCTTTAATCAAATTCATCAAAAGAAAAAAATGTCCCTTCTGCTCACTTATTCCCTAGGTCTTCATCTCTGAGGCATTTAAATAGATTTATACAAAATGGTTTACTGAATAGCTACTATACTACCTTATAGAAAATGAATTTATCTCATTGAAAAAGGCTTTGCAATGAGTTAGGGACTTACTCCCTATTACCATCATTCATCTTCAGGGGGGAGTAAGTTCAAGTATGTGTTCCAGTATTAATTGAAAGGCACAGTGACCTACTTACAGCATGCTCTGAATATTTATTAGATGAATGAAAAATAGATGAGTGACTCAATTATTTTGGAATCTTAAATTATACATTATTTACATGATACCTACTTTGATTCTCATTAATTGTGAATATATCCTATCTAGAGAAAAAGAAAACTGGAACTTGCTATGTTCAATTCTGTGATATTTAGGAATGTATTTGCACTGAATCTAGAAGGTCAGTTACATGCCAAATTGAGTTCTTCATTGAGAATATATAATATTATTAAATAATAATAACTGATATTAGTCAAGTGCTTAGCATGTGACAGGCACTGTACTAAATGTTTTGACATGTGTGACCTCACTGAATCCCCACATCTTATGCTACAGGAACTATTATCATCTGCTGTATTAGAGAAGAGAAAACCAAAGCTTAGGGAGATGGAAGTATTTGGAACTGGGATTGAAATCCAAAGAGTCCTTCTCAGGAGTCTAGGTTTAGCAACCATGTTGAACAGCTTTAGCCTCTACTTACCTGTGTCTTAGAAAATGAGGCTATTATCTATATCAAGCATCTTTTTAAAAAATTTTTACTCTTTTAGATGGTCAGTTAAATAAGATCCATAATCTTATCCTTAAGGTTTGTACGACCTATGCTATGGCGTATTTGTGTCCCTGAGGTGGTGCTGGGCAAGCATGATACTATTTGGAAAGTCTTTCCTTCGGTTCCTCCCGCCCGCCCCCCCCCATGCCACCATTTCTTTTCTCAATAGCTAGTGTGACTATTGACTTTATCATCCAAACACTGAGAACAAAAGAAGGTGCTATATATCATTTCACCAGGACAACAGACAGAAAACGGACCGTATGGTCACATTTTTAGTCTGCAGGGACCTAAGTACTCTACGGATGTTCTAGCCTAGATACAGCAATAACATCTGTAGCAAGTTTGACTGATAAACAGAAATTCACTTTCAGGGAAAGAACCATCTTTAGAAAATGCCCGGTGAGTCTCACTATAGAGAAATGTCTAGAATGAGACAATTAGTAAGCTTAGAGATTTATTACTTTCCAAAAGTAATACAATTAAAATTTATTATCATTCAAAAGTATGATTCACAGTCATAAGAGAAGTTGGAAAAGAAAGTCGTGTTTTTGATAACCTGTGAAATGAACTGGACAATTCTTTGGATTTGCTTATCTTCATGATTAATGTGTCATAATAATACCCATGTGATTCTCAATGAATCAGGAATGCCTGATTATGCTTTTACAATAAAATTTACTTATAAAATCAGTGAGGATCAATCATGAATAACATTGTCAAAATTACTTATAGTCACATGATTAACTTGTAACATCTATATTTCTTACTCTCTCATTTTCCAAATGAGAAAATGCTAGGGCAACTTGTTTAGGGTATTGGTTAAAATCTATATATTATTTTGGTGTGTTATCTATTTGTTTAAGAACTTTTGTTCATAAAATTGATTTTGCTATTTAATTTGTAATTTACTTCAAGAATAGCACAAATTCTTATTTTTTCTGTTTTATTTGATAAATGAAAATATTAGACTTATCACATATATAAGTAACTGTTATTTAATACTACAAAAATATCACAAAATATGATTATATTAACTGCTTTTGTATGTCTTAAGATAAAAACTTGACCATAAATTTTACTTTAAAAAAAATCAAGGACCATAGATTTTTTATGATATATTTCCTAATAATTTTAATATTTTCTTTTTTTAGCATATATGTCTAAATTCTCCTTAATGCCTTTCTGTATTATGTAAATAGCACAGAAAATACCTGTATTGGAATGTTTCAAAAAAACTTTTTTTTTTGCCTATAACTCAAAGACTGTATCTAACATGCAATTAAATTTAATAAAATGTCCTCAAATTAAAGATTTAAGTGAGTATTAGAAAATACATTTTGAATTTTAAACTTTTAATAATGGTTTAAAGTAAATTTAAAGGCACTAGATAATAGAAAAAATGTTTTCCTTGGATTATACTCACAGAAAAATTCAAGTTTTATAAAACAATTCATCCTTCTCAAGAGAGCCCAGTGAAAATGTGTGCCTGGAGTTATCTCTGGCTGGAGGTGAGGGGTGGGAGTGGAAGGGTGGAGGGGAGGTCTTTAGTGGGTATAGAATTTCAATCCTGCAAGATGAAAAGTTGGGGATCTGTTTTACATCAATGTAAATATACTTAATGCTACTGAAATGTACACTTAAAAATGATTAAGATAGTAAATATTCTTTACTTATTTATGGTAATTTTTATTACAATTTTTTTTTTAAAGTGATAGGATAAAAAACAACCTATAAATACTTTAGCAGAAAAGTAAAATAAAATCTTTGGGACCTAGGGCTTGGTAAAAGAATGCATAGTCATGACATAAAAAAAAATCCATAAAAGAAAAATTTATACTCCATCAAAATTTAAGTTTTACTTTGCAAAAGACCCTCTTAAGAGGATAAAAAGACAAGCTACACACTGGGAAAAAATATTTGCACACCACATATCTGACAAAGGTTTCATATTTAGAATATATGAAGAACTCTCAAAATTCAATAGTAGAGACAAAAATAATCCAATTAGAGAATAAGCAAAAGACACAAAGATATTTCAGCAAAGGGGATACTTAGAGGGCAAATATGCACATACAAAGATGTTCAACATCACTAGTCATTAAGGAAATGCAAATTAAGATCCCAATGAGCTATTACTACACATATATAAGAATAGCTAAAATAAAGAATATTGACAATACCAAATGCTGGCAAGGATGCACAGAAATGAGATCTCACATACATTGCTTGTGGAGACATACAGATGTTCTGAAAAGTAGTGTAGCAGTTTAAAATAATATATACTTCCCATCTGACCCAGCAATCACATTCCATTTATCTTTGAGAAATGAAAACTTAGGTCTACACAAAAAACTGTACATGACTGTACATAGCAGGTTTAATCATAATAGCCTCAAACAGCAAGCAACTAAAATATCTTACAATAGGTGACTATTTAAACAAATTATACTACATTCAAAACATGGAATATTACTTGGCAATAAAAAGGAACAAACTCTTGATACATGCAGCCACTTAGGACAAATTGCAAGGACATTATGGTAAGTGAAAAAAGCCCATCCCAAAGTATTCAATTTATATGACATTCTCAAAATAACAAAGATTATAGAGATGGAGAACAAATTAGTGTTCCTTAAGGGTTAGCAATGCTGGAAGAGGGTGTGAATGCAATTATAAAGAGAGCATTCAGGAGATCTCTGTGATGATACATTAGTTTTATAGATTAATTTTATAATCTTGGTGGTTCCATGAATCTACATATGTGAAAAAGACATTGAACTATACATACACATCATGCCAATGCCAATTTTCTTTTTTTGGTAGTATACTACAATTACCTAAGATGTAACCACTGGGGGAAACAGGATTAAGGGTAAATGGGATTTCTCGGTACCATCTTCACAATTTCCTATGAATCCATAATTTTTTCAAAATGTTGGAAGATGTTTGAATTGACTGAGTAGTCTAGGCATTGAATGATTAGAATCAGAAAGGAATATTGTAGAAGTTTTAACTTTTTAATTATAGGTTAACCTATAATTACATTAGAAAATCAACCTAAAAGATCAGCTAAAAACCAGTGAAAAAGTAAAGAATAGGAATGGTTACAATAAGCCTATGAGCTCAGATTATAATGTCTTATCAGATAGTCCTGGCCAGGAAAAAAGAAATCTGTTTCTTATTCTTATTTAAATGACAATACATGTTTATAAGTTTCTTCCCATCATTGACTGTTTGACAACATTTATGTACAAACTTGGGAAAGATCATCTGAGCATAAGGATCTTTATTCCGAACCACTGTATCTATGTAAGAGATGGAAATTACATTAAATCTCTCATTGTACCTAACCATAGCTATATGAGCAACTGAGCTTTATGCTAACAACAACAACAAACAGGTTGCTTTATTTTGGAAATAAATCCATAATCAAGGTTGAATCAACACCTTTCACATTTACAAAATATTTCTGCACATACAAAAAGCCAGAGTAAATATTCATTTTCATGTCATCTCCCTATCATAACTATATTTACTCATATTTGTTTCTTCAAATAGGGTTGTGGAACCATTATTGTTGCTACCATGTGGAGTAGGAGATAAGGGTGATCAATCAGGGATCACAATGATTTGTAATGGCAGGAGACAGTTGTGTCTAGAGATAACATTTGGCAGCACATGTTTATTAGTGAGGCAGACATCTGCGTCTCATGACACCAGGAGCCAGCCTGTTTGCTCTTTTATGTTAAGTAGCTCAGCAAGCATTAAAATTCTATGCTTTCAGAAACACTCTATGTTTTCAAAACTTCTCCTGAAATCCTGAAACTCATAATCAAATTACATTTTAATTTTGCTCCTAATGAAGCCCTGAAGTTTCCTGAGTTGGAGCAAACAAAACCTTTAGATAAATACAAACTAAATTAGTGTAAAGTATTGTAACAAACAAGTACATTTCATCTCAACAGAAACCAAAGTTTTGCATTTTTTAAACATTATGAAAGTACATGAAGAGATGATAGAAATGATACAAATCTATTTATATGGGGGAAAACACAATTAAGAGACGAACCATGAGAGACTATGGACTCTGAGAAACAAACTGAGGGTTCTAGAGGGGAGGGGGGTGGGAGGATGGGTTAGCCTGGTGATGGGTATTAAAGAGGACACGTATTGAATGGAGCACTGGGTGTTATATGCAAGCAATGAATCATGGAACACTACATCAAAAACTAATGATGTAATGTATGGTGATTAACATAACATAATAAAATTTTTAAAAAATGAATCTTTGGCCATGAAAATTAATCTTCTCATCTCACACCTATTAAGTAGTGTCTTGCCATTTTCTATGGTATTATTTAGAGCTTAACAATTCATGGTGAAAGTACACTTTGAGTTAATGATCCAAAAACTTGTCCAATAAAGTCAGTTGTAGAGAGAAATGGTGATGTTCCCTTATGAAATGGCAATTGACATCATCTCATTTTGGGCTCTTGGTCTGACTTTAAACCATGTGAAATGTATCTGTCATTCTTACTTTTCTGTTCTAATCACAGGAATTTGCCAAAGTACTAATTCCTTTGTATCTTTGCCTCTACCATTGTGCACACAGACTAAATGGACTCCAATTACTGTAATAATATGTTTCAGAAAAGCAATCAGTGTCCATAGGATTGAGGTTAGACTGGAAGCTTCTCATCCCAAAAGAGAGCTATTAAAAGACAAGAGCTGAAATTCTGGCCTTGCATTGGGCTGACTTGAGAAAGAATGTTGCCAAAGGAATGAAGTAGGACAGTTGATTTTTTGCAAAATCCTGGGAACTGTGGCAAAATGTTTTACTTTCATGAGCTTCGAACCATTGAGATCAAAAATGAGAACTTATATGTTCATTTTTGTCAATTTTCTCTTTACACCACACAGAATGTGGTGGCGTTTACTGTTTTATCTGGCAAAACTGTTGTTAACCAGGATCTAGTGAGGGACAAAATTGGGTATCAGCCAGCATTTTCCTCTTTAGCCTCAGAAATCCAAGAAGTTACATTTGGGGAAGGAAGCTGAGGTATTTAGGGAGATCACAATTTGAAGCTAGTTTATTTTCTCAGAATTAGGTAACAGGCTGGGAGGAAAGGACCCTTTATTTTTTAAAAGATTTATTTATTTATTTGAGAGAGAGAGCAGGGGTAGGGGGGGAGAGGGAGAGAGAATCTCAAGCAGAGAGGGAGAGGGAGAGAGAATCTCAAGCGGAGTCCCCGCTGAGCATGGAGCCCAATGCGGGTCTCGATCTCATGACCCTGAGATCATGACCTGAGCTGAAACCATTTCCTTTTTGGTTTCTTTCCATCAAATTAAAAAAAAAAAAAACTAATCTTAGGGTCTAATCTCACCAAACTTCTTCCTATTTCCTGTGTGTCAAATGAAACCAACAACATAATAATTTATGTGCAACTTCGCAGGTTCTTCAGGAGACCTTTAACAAACTCACCATCAAAAAAAAAATGACCAGTGTCATATCAGCTTACGAGCCTAACTATCTGGGTATAATAGATAGGATATATACTTCATGATAGTGTAAGAATAACAGATACATGTAGATGTATAATCAGTTATTCATGCATTTATACATTCAAGAAGTATATATTGTGCAAGTGTGCCTATAATGGATCTTGGTCTGGGAAATGGAGTGACGAACAAAGTGAGGTGCTTACCTCATGGAACTTACCTTCTGGTGGAGAAGATAGAAACAAAGAGGCAAATAAAATATATGTTAACTGGGATTAATAAATGCTATAAAGAAAAAATAAAGCAAACAAAGATTAACTTGTGCTTTTCTTTAAGTACAGTAGTTAAAAGGCTTTTCTGGAGGAGGTCTAAGCAGAGACCAGACTAAAGTGACATATATACCTGGGGAAAGCATGACAGGCTGAGAGACAAAGTACACAGACCATGAGATAATAATGTGCTTGATGTGTCAAAGGAGCAGCAAGAAGTCCAGTATAGCTGAATGAGGAAGAAGGGTAGGAAATGAGGGATAAAATTAGCCAAGGAACACGTAGGCCATGGAAAGGATTTTAATTTTATTCTCAGTCATGTGAAAAGTTAGAATTAGGTACAGCTGCAAGTGATGAAAAATTTATATTTAGAATAGCTTAAGAAAGATGATTACTTCTCTTTCACATGAAGACATTAAGATATAGGCATTCTATTCAGCTTCAAAACATTGTCAGGGACAAAGCTCCTTCCACCCTTACTGTTCAGTCATTCTCAGAATGTGGCTTTAGCCTCAAG